TTCATCAGCCCTGCCTAGACAGATTGAATACTTCTCACTGGAGAGTCTACCTTCCTCCAGGCCCTCTGGATCTAGGTTCCTTCTTGAAAGCCAATCACTTCTTGCCTTTGTAGCCCCCATCCCCATTTTAGGTAGCCAATGTCCAAGTTGCCCATGCCTGTCTACTCTGTGTGTGGAGGGAGTAGGAATGATTCTTGCTGTAAGGATTTGTTCCCTCTTTTGAATAGGTGTAGGCCAAGTTCATCAGATTGTATCAGATTACTCTTTTTTTTCCTCTTCTTTCTTCTTCTGGTTGAGCTCTAATCATCCAGTCATTGAATCCAGGTCAAGAGGGTATTATCTGCAAGTGTGGGTGTTCTTGTGCATATGCCCTCTCTTCTTATCACCTGGATGCTTCACTGGCCACTCTGGTCCTCTGCGGCTATGTCACTGACTCTGGGCCCAAGATTCCCCAGGTCTTGCCACTCTGCTGGCCAACCAGGTCTTCACCTGGGTTCACAGAAGTCTATTGAACATTGTAGGGCTTAGCTCACCGCTTCATTGCTATTCTTTCCTCACATCCCCTTATTGGTGATGAGCGTAATCACCAATCAGAGCGTGTATTCCCATTGAGTCTTAGTCTTGGAAGGGGTTTGCACTGAGGGGACCCGACCACTTGCCTTGATGTTTCCTGGGCAAGCAACTTGTTAGTTCTTGTAGTAACAGTCGGTCTGCCTATATTGTTTTGTATTTTTCCTGTAGGTCTTTCTTTCAAGAAGTATATGCTGTTCTTCTAGACTTTCCAGGCTGGTCTGCTCATCCTTTCAAGTGGAAATTTACCATCTCTGAAGATATGGATGTGGTTCTACCTATAGTCTTATGTATTGCAGAGGCTCCGCAGGAAGCCTCCTTCACTGAGCACATTGTAGCCCCATTTTAGGTATTCCAATCAGTTATAGGGAGAAGACGGACTTACAAGCTTTCTATGGTAGTGTTTCTGGCTATTCCTTTCTCTCCCCCTCCAGTGTCTATTTTATAATATAATGCAAGGAAAACTAAGATTCAAAAGACAGCCAAGCATCTTAACATTATTAGCCCCTTTCCCCCATTCCATCCATGTCTCAATCTCTGTATCCCAGAGCCCTGTTGTTCCAAGGTTGTACATACATCTTTATTTACCTCTGTCCCACTTAGTCCATTCAAACCTGCCTAATTGTTCTCCCATTTGCTTTGTTCTTCCATTCTCCTCTCCCTTCTTGGATGTTGACCCCTTCCCCAGCACACAAACTATCCTGTGTCTAATCCCTGCCTGTGCTCCACCTTCCCCTCCCTCCCCTCACCCGCCCCCAACATCTCAGCAATCAACAAAGAACACCCCCCCCCCTTAGTATGGGTTCTTTTTCTTAGTCTTTTACAGTAGAGGTCTTATGCAGTATTTCTCTTTTTGTGACTGAATTTCACTCAACATAATGCCCTCAAGGTTTATCCATGTTAACTGGTGTTTTACAGCTTCCTTGTTATTCTTCAAGATAGCATAATATTCCATTGTGTGTATGTACCACAGTTTGTTTATCCATTCTTCAGTTGATGGGCACTTTGGCTGGCTCCATCTTTTTGCTATTGTAAATAGTGTTGATATGAACATTGGTGTGCATATATCTTCTCGTTTGTGACTCATTTTCCTTGTGGGTAAATACCAAGTAGAGGAATTGCTGGATCATAAGGTATTTCTATTTTCAACCTTCTGAGGAAACACTATATTGCAAAGCTTATTCTTAACATAAACTTTATTGTGAGGCACTTTAGTTTACCACTTGCCCTCAACACATAGAAACAGATTGCATCTATAGAATGAGATTTGTTATTTTTTAAAAAGGGACAAGTGATAGACTTGGGATCAGAGAATTTGGTTGTTGGGAGAAGCTAGTCCAGGGCAGCAAATAAAGGTAGAAGAGTGCTTAAGATCTTTTATTTTTATTTATTGATTTTTGCTTCCCATAAAACCTAATGGCAACATCCTCCCATAGATAACACAAAATCAATTACCTTTGGTACTTCAAGTTATTGATACCAGAGATGGCTTTAAAATGAAACACCTTTAAATCACTAGGGATTTTTATTGATCCCTGTTATTTGTGGTAGATACCTTCTGTAAAAGGAGCTCTGGTAGCGTAGTGGTTACGAATCGGGCTGCGAACCGCAAGGTCAGCAGTTCAAAACTACCAGCTGCTCCGCGGGAGAAAGATGAGGCTTTCTGCTCCCG